GTTATCTTCCGTTACTTGAATTGGCTTCCTCTTCGGCTTTCTTTGTGATCGTGTATATTTATTATTTTGTATTATTACGTCTCTAAGCAACAATAATCTCCTTCGATCCTCTTCTTATTCCCAAGTCCGTAGTGAATCAAACATTGCTCAATCTAACATAAGGCATCCTCGGGACCAACTCCCTTTCCTCCGACTCTCTCTATCCAAACTGCTTTTCATATAACTTGATCATATAACATCAAACTCATCGTTGGCAAAAAAAATAAATATCATATAAAATAAAAGGATCTTTAACATTATTTTCAACTAATTCTTTCTAACTTACCATGCCAGGCTATCTCACCTTAGCCTTCTTCTACACTCTTCTTTTATCAAATTTCTCTTTGATCTTCCCATCCATATATCAACATCGCCTTTGTATCATCATCTCAGATATTCCTATTATTCTTCTACATTATTACATCAATTAATAGTATCACAAATCTCTCACGATTGTTCTAACTTCCAGCAATATCTTTTCCTTGATTTATAAACATTACCCCTGATATCATTCAACATCTACCCTGATTTTCATCAATATCTTCCCTTATCTCCTTCGATGATGTCTGCGACTTCTCTCAATGTCGTCCTAGGTATCTCACAAAACTGTTCTGTCCCACTCAAAATCTGCCTTATCATTTATCATCATAGTCTTCGATAATCCTAAAAATCATTTATGGTATATATCATCTCTCATATTAGCACGCATTGTCCTTGGTATCCTCCCACTTCATAGCAGATATTGCATAACATCACTACGGTATCTCTAAGCATTATCCCTGACATCCCTTCATCTCTCATCATAGGTCTTCATCAGCGTTATTATGGCAAGATCTATATCTCTCATATTAACCCTCATTTCTGCAAGCATGGTCCTTGATATCCTCTTACATCCCTTAATGTGGTACGTAATTCTTTTACATCATTACTAGTCTTCCTTAATATCGTTTAGGGCCTCCTTTTCATTTTTTTGCCTAACATCTCTCAACATAATCACTGACATCTATTAATATTGTAACTCAAATCCTCAAATTCTTTCTTAGCATTATCTGAGGAATTTGTTAATACCGTTCCTGAAATATATCAACACTAGCTTCAAATAATATCTTCTTAAATATTTATCAATATCGTTTTTGATATCATAAAACATCATCTTTAACATTTCTTAATATCATTCTTGAGATATCTTAATATCAAATCTGAGATTCTTCAGCATCGTCGTTGATATTCTCTTACCTTCATTCCATTTTTTCCTGGCATCTCTTAACATCATCCCTGACATTTATCAACATTGAAATATCTTCCCCATCATCTACTAATATTACCAATATGTTTGAATGTCATCCCTAATATCCTTCAATGTCGACTTTAGCCTTCCTCAACGTCACTGACGACACCTCTTAACATTGTCCTTGGGTTTCCTTACGGTCTCCCTTAAGATTTTCCTTTGTATCTATCAACATCGTCTTCGATATAGCTAAACATCGACTTTGTCATTGACAACATCCGTTATATGTCTTAACTTTGTCCCTGGTATCTTTCAACATTATTACTGAAACGTCCTAGCACCGTTCTTGATATCTTCCTCCATTACCGGTTTTTTTTAACATGGTTTACGTCATCCCTTTACAATATTATTCCAGCGTCATTCATCATCTATTAACAACACCCGAGATATCTCAAAAAAATCGCCCAAAAAAGAGTTTGGCCTTCCTCAACATCACCTATACTTCTCAATATCGTCCTCTGCATCTCTTAACACTGTTCTCACTTAATTAAGACATTCCTCATAGTCCACGATATTCACATTATCCTTCACATCGTGCTTCATATTGTCTTTGATATCGCTAAACTTTAAGCATCGTTTTTGATATCTTTCTGTATTATCGGCAGATTTCCTCAACATCCTTCTACATCTTTTAAAATTGTTTTCAACATTTTTCTCGGCGTCAGTGTCACATTCTTATCATAATCCGTCACACTTGTGAACACTGTGCCTACCTTAAGATCTTCCTTATCATCTATATCACCATACTTGATATTTGTAAGTATTGTTTTTGGTATCCTCCTACATCATAGCAAGTTTTACTCAACATCAACACGGTATCAGTATGCGTTATTCCTAAGATCTCTTAACATAATCCTTGAAACTCATCAATAGTATCATCTATTTACATTATCGTTGGCATTCTTCAACATCGTCTACTGCATCCTTAATATTGTCCCTGATAACTCTTAGCGCTGTTTTAGTTTCTCGCAACATATTCATCATTTATTAGCACTACCCCTGATATCCTTCAACGTCTTCAGTGATATTCATCAACATTGATGCTTACCTTCGCCGTTGTTGTCTATGATATCTCTCCATATTATTGTGATCTTTCTCAAGATTTTACTCATCATCTGTTATCAGAGTCTTCGATGATCCTATCCATCATCTTTACGGCATCCCTCAGCATCTTCCCTGACCTCTCTTAACATATCCCTTGATATTCATCAGTACTACCCTGGTTTTTCACAATATACTCCCCATCTATTAACAATATTGCTGGTCTTCCTCAACATCGTCTACGGCATCTCTGCATATTATCCCTGACATCTCTTAACACTCTCCTTGATATCCACTACCATCGTTCCTGACCTTCGTCGTAGTTGTCTATGATATCTCTCCACATTATTGTGGTCTTTCTCAAGATTTTATTCATCATCTGTTATCAGAGTCTTCGATGATCCTATCCATCATTTTTACGGCATCCCTCGACATCTTCCCTGACATCTCTTAACATAACCCTTGATACTCATCAGTATTACCCTGGCTTTTCACAATATACTCANCTATTATCTTTAAGGAAAAAACTAAAGAGACAAAAAAATACCAATAATGAATAAGCTTTACAACCCATATCTTTTTATGTTAATATTCCATGGCGTTAAAAAGTTGTTATAAAAAAAATCAAAGGGGTTGTGAATTTCATCCCCTTAGAGGGCGCTAGGGAAGTTTAAGGTATGGTTGAAAATAAGATATTAACTAGTAGTGCATACATACAAAATTTCAAATTCTACGGTTTACTTATACCCGAAATAAAAGATAAAATGTAAATTTTTGGCTTAACTTTGACAGCTCATAGCCCGAAAACAAAAGAGTTGCGACCCCATGTTTATATAAAAAACTTGTGTTATTTTGGCAAGTACTACATCTTAGTAAAGTTTCCCGATTAAAAACTGAACCACCCTGTATATTATATTCCCCATCATCTACTAATATTACCGATATGTTTGAACATCATCCCTAATATCCTTCAATGTCAACGTTGGCCTTCCTCAACGTCACTTACGACACCTTTCAACACCGTCCTTAGGTTTCCTTACGGTCTCTCTTAAGATTTTCCTCTGCATCTATCAACATCGTTGTATGACAACATCCGTGTGTCTTAATGTACTTGGTATCTTTCAACATTATCACTGAAACGTCCTAGCACCATTCTTGATATCTTCCTCTATTAGGCTATTACTGGTCTTTTTTAACATGGTCTACGTCATCCCTTTACAATATTATTCCAGCGTCATTCATTATCTATTAACATTACCCTTGATATCTTTCAACAATTTCCTCCAAAGTAGTTTGGCTTTCCTCAACATCACCTATACTTCTCAATATCGTCATCTGCATCTCTTAACACTGTTCTCGTTTAATTAAGACATTCCTCATAGTCCTCGATATTCACATTATCCTTTACATCGTGCTTCACATTGTCTTTGATATCGTTAAACTTTAAGCATCGCTTTTCATATCCTTCCGTATTATCGCTAGATTTTCTCAACATTCTTCTACATCTTTTAACATTATTTTAAACATTTTCCTCTGCGTCAGTATCGCATTCTTCAGCATTGTTCTAAATAACTATTATCATAATCTGTGACATTTGTCAACACTGTGCCTACCTTAGGATCTTCCTCACCATCTATATCACCATACTTGATACCTGTAAGTATCGTTCTTGGTATCCTCCTATATTATAGCAGGTTTTACACAACATCAATGTATGGTATCAGTATGCACAACATCGTCTCTGCCATCCTTGCGTATTGTCCCTGATAACTCTTAACGCTGTCCTAGTTTCTCGCAACATATTGTCTACGTTGATTTTACTCATCATCTGTTATCAGAGTCTTCGATGATCCTAACTACCATCTTTTCGGCATCCCTCGGCATCTTCTCTGACATCTCTTAACATAACCGTTGACACTCATCAGTACTACATGGCTTTCCACAATATACTCCCCATCATCTACGAACACTATCGCTGGCCTTCCACAACATCGTCTACATCACTAACCTCGTCATTATCTGTCATCATAGCAGGTTTACCTTAATATCATTACGGCTTTCCTCTGCATCTTCACTGACATTTCTTAACCTAATCCACGGTACTTGTCAGTACTGTCCTGGTCTACCTCAAGATCTTGATCATCATCTATCATCATAGTCTTTCACATACTTAAACATCATCTTTGATGTTTCTCACATCATCCATGATATATGCAAGTATTCGCGCATATTTTTTCGTAACTGGCAAAAATGTGAAAATAAACGTAAAAAAGGTTATGTAATTTCACCGAAACGTAGATTTAACTAGTTTAATAATATTTCAACACGACCTTCAAATTAAACATATTTGTTGTGTAACAAATTGGAATTACAGAAAAAAAGTATATATTACCAACAAATTTATTATAAATGTGGGAGATTTGGCTTGAAAAAAGAAACTATTTTTATTTCGGAAAGAATGTGGGAGAAAGCTTAAGTTTAGAAATTTTTAAAAAGATTTGTCAGTAGTAAACTGATCTTAGACAGTATGAACTTGGATTAATTGAATTTAGAGTTCATCGTTTTCGCAAGGTAAGATTTAGAATTAATCAATTACTTTTTTTATTAAAAAAAAATTTTATTTTCAATTTAGATGAGATATCTAATAACCTTTTTACTCCTTCTTCCAATTATATCCTCAACGTTCGCACATTGTAATAGGAGATGTTGTTCGAGTTGTTCAATTGAAACCTGTTGTTATGAAAACCCACCGTGTTGTAACCGCTGCAACAACTGCAACTGTGAAGACATCATTTGTTCCAGTAATAAAACGGAATCCGAAACTGAATTAATTGATTCTACACAAAAAACGGTTATCGTTAATGACAAGAAATCTGTGCCAAACCAATCGAATCTTACTGTTACAATTTCAAACGAAATTAACCAAAACAATACTTTGCATAACCCGATTAATGTAACAACTATTAACGAAAATAATATATTAGTACATTCTGTAGCAGATCGCAAATCTTCACAAATTAATGAAGGACCTAATGGTACTAACGTACAAATAATTCGAGTTCCGTATTATATTGATAGACCAGTACTAGTTGAAGTGGAAAAAGTTGTAGAGAAAAAAGTATACGTTCCGGTTCCATCTAATGAAACTAAAATTATTGAGAAAATAGTAGAAGTACCAATTGTAAAACCAGTGCCGTATTTCGTTAATAACACCCAATACGTACCTGTATCAACACCCGTAGATAGGCCTATAATATACCCGGTACAAGTTCCAATTGATAGACCAATTCCTTATTACATACCATTTAATCAAACTCACTACAAGTATATATTAGTAAATGTTCCAACGTATATTGATAAACCAATTCCAATGCCTTATCCTGTTAAACACACGGAATACATAACCCAGCACGTACCAGTGCAAGTACCAACGGTTGTTGAAAAACCGGTTAGAGTTCCGGTTCCAGTACCCCATTATATTGAAAACGTTGTTAGTGTACCGATCGTTGTCGATAAATTGACTCCGATTCCCGTACCATTTAAGGAGATTCAAATTGTTAATAACCCGATTCACGTTCCTGTACAAATTCCAGTACCAGTTCCATATCCTGTAATAATACCATGTAAGTAATATTATGAATAATTTACCACATCAAACTGATATCGTTTCATTTCAGCTTGCCAAAATTGCCATCAAAATCACTTGGCATGTTTCCAAAATTGCAGACCACACTTTGAAGTTGGTAAGATAAACGAACACGATAATTTTTTAGAAGTCTAAATTTTTTTTTATTTATAGTTTGCCCAAAGTGCCAATTTCATATGCCGTGTCACCAAACTTGTTCTCATTTTATGAACACAAGTAAGTGATATAAAAATAATTTTTCTATAAGTATAAAAAAAATTTTTAAATGTTAGTGTGCCAAAATTGTGGTGGTCACCTTCCTTGTGCTTCATCGTGCAATGCACATTACAACTCATGTAAGTATTGAAAAGTGTGTATTAAAAGGAATGAAGTTTTATTTTTTATTTAGTGTGTCAACGTTGCCAACAAAATTCTCAATGTTTTTCGAATTGTCAACAGCATTTAGGAACGAGTAAGTACTTACAAAAAGATTTTCAAACCTTTAAAATGTAAGCTCTAAAAAAAGGTATTATATACAGGTATTTCAAAAAAGATTGCTGATTATAAATTTATTGGGTTCTAGATAAGTCTTTAAAATTCGGGTTATAGAAGTTATCCATTAGAATCTTTCGATCTAAAATATTTTAAAGATTGCTGAAATAATAATGTGGTAATCTATTTCAAAGAAGACGAATGGTAGTAAGATAATAACAATAATAATAATATTTGTTGGCACAACCCACATACTTTACATATTTAACATAAAAAAAATCAAACATGAATATACAAAAAAAATGTTAAAAGCAATATATACAGGCTGTTTAGAAATTCGCGGATAACCTACACGTAGCGACATTCTACGATCGACTCTGAATTGAAAATCTTAATGTTAAAATATTGTTCTACTATGTTGCCAAATGTGTTTTTCATGAAGATATGATAATGGAAGAATGTTAAAAACGAACTTTAAAGCTAAAGAAAATAACTTTAACAAAAAAACTAGTTTTCAACATTCTTTTCATTCTAAATTACAGCTTATTTATCAACAGATTTTGGATATTAATGATTATTTATGGACAAATTATCCGAAATTTGAGAACCTCCTGAAGACGTATGAAGCATGGTACAACATTTTACAATTAAGATTTTCGCTTTAGAATCGAACGAAGAATGTCGCTACGTGTAGATTTTCCGCCAATTTCTGAATACCCTGTATTACAATAGAACGGGGTTGCAACCAAATTGACTGCGTTTGGCTCGTAACATAGTCACGATCAACACCTCCACGCAGCCCGGAAAAGAAAACTATAGATAGATAACAATATAAATGGATTATGTTAAATATCTCAAACAGCGTTTGACCAGAACCACCAATTGACCAATTTGAACATATCGAACATTGCCACACCTAACGAAGGTGTGGCAATGTCATATCTCGACTTAAAACAAAAGCAACGATTAAGATCAATGAAATAGTTTAGTATTTCTAAGTTTGACATTCAAAACCGTTTTGTGTGAATATAACAGCTTTAAACTGGCAAACGCCCTCCTGACCAGGCAGGACACAAACTACCTCAATCTTAATTCTGAATCTATCCAGACTCCCAAATACCTGGCCGAATCCTGATACATCACCTCAGCCCCCCCAATAAGCAATCCCAGATCCCGCTGCGCAGCGAGTTTATTTCTTCTCTTTTCTGATTTGACTAGAAGCTAACGCAACATCCGATGACTTAAAGGAGTAATATATCTGTGTATCATCCGCATAGAGATGATAGAGACAGGTACGAATGTACTTTTGAATATTGAGTGTATATATCGAGTACAAAAGTGGACCAAGCACTGAGCTTTGGGGCACACTCGATTTCACATTTAAGATGCTGGATCGACTGCCCCCAAACAACACACTCTGTGTACGATTTCGCAAATAATCATCCATTAACTAAACACCACACTGGCTCATCCCAACATAATGAAGCATACATAACAGCAACCTATGATCGATCATATCAAAACCCTTTGAAAAATCCAAAAGCACAAGCACTGTAGTTAATCCCGCATCCCTAACCGCAACAATGTCATCCATAACGTTTGCCAGCGCAGTGGCACAACTTTTGGGCAAGATTTCAAACTGATTTAGGTGACCCGTCAACTGTGATGCCAGTATCTTTTTCAGTACCTTAGACAGAACTGGAAGAACCGATACAGGTCTAATATCATTTAAAGTGTGATGAATTTGAATTTCACAGAATTCTTTAAGTTGTTTACTGACATAAACCTCTTGATTTGTGACAACACATGTTCTTGCATATGCAAATGCATATATTTTTATATTTTCGTCGGTTACAAAGCTAATGCCAGAAGTTCTGTTTGCAAAACCTGTAGACTTTAGAACCCCAGACAGCTGATAACTCCACAATATGTTTACAGATGTTACTATATGATGAATAGGAAAAACATTTAAAAATATTAACGCAATATGATGCCGAGTTTAAAGTTAGATAATAGGACATGATAGGACAATTAACAGACTATGTACACTTATTTGGGCGTAAGCTCGTCTTATCGAAAATCCAAAAAAAAAAGGTCAACAAATCACTCAGAATAGGGGGAGCACTAAGAATCACTAAGCTCTGGAGAAACAACTGCCTATCTACCCGGACCAATGATATATGCTGTGTGAAGGTGCGGACATAGCGGAAACCAAAAGGATGGTGGGTACCTCCAAAAACATTGAAAAATAACTGGTTGACACAAGAAATGCTGACAGAACAGAATGCGTAGATCAAGCCAATATGGCTTTCGCAAAGAAGAATTTGAATGAAAATCGCCACCAAAGAAGCATAGAGTCGTGCTGATGATGATATCAATCTCTTGGCAACCAGGAACAGATGTTGCTCGAGCGTCTGCAGGATCTATCTAACACAGTCCACTTGTATACAGCCTTCTCAAATATCTCAGTGGCAAGAAAGATGACAGAAGCAACCTATTTTTTGATTTCAGAGAAAACAACAAAGGTAAACAAAGCTGTTCTATTACATCTATGGAAAATGTTCTCTACATGCAATAACACTTCTACTTCATTAACATTTACATCCTCAAAAAAAAAAAAAAATTGCATTGAACGCAACAAGAATCGGACTTTAATCAACCAAAAAGCCATCGTCGAACTTCAAGAAGAGTAGAGGAACACAATAAGAAATAATTCGGGTTGTTAACTGCGATTAGTCTAATCGCAAATCGTGGATGAAATTTTTGAAATCCTTTTATAAGTTCAAACTAAATTTAATCTTGACATTATAAAAGTTCATTAAGTTTAGTTTCTTTCGAACTTCTAAGTTCTTGGATATTTCCCAAGAGCTGAATGACTTCAACGTTGAAATATCGCATCAGGCTTTTTACGTGTGTCGCTGTGATATTTTGGATCACTCCGTAGACTTATTTGGGTTTGAGGTAATCATGCAGTTCGCAATGTAACGATAAGCAATGGTAATCAGTCTAAGAAATTGTTTGGCTACTTGAATGATCAATTAATTACACTTAATTATAGACCGATAAACTAGTCTCTTTCTCTAACATTTGTCTACTTTTGAGTCTAATCTGCTTAGCTTTCGTCTAACATCATGCGTCCAGTTCAATCTGCCATTAAAATCGAGATATTTTATACAATCTGCTCGAGAAATCCAAGAAACACAGTTAGGTTACTACAAAATAGGCATAGACCGATTTCCAGCTGTTAACTGCTACTTGACATCTTTCCATAGCTTTCATTTGAATTGAATGATCCAAGTACAGCATCTTTTGAAATAGGAATGTCTGCTATAAACAGTAGATAATGGAGTGAAACTCCAGCCAAGATCGGTTTGAATATTAACTATGACCCATCATGTGACACTCCAAACTCTCTTTCAGAAAAATGGTGCCACACCCTGTTAAACGTCTATGAAACTTCAGTAATACTTGATCTATTGTATAATGGCGATTGCAAAATCCAAACTGGAAGTCTGATATATTGATGACTGATTAACAGTAATCTTTCAAATAATTTGGAAATGACAGGAAACAACGAAATAAATGCAATTAGCAAACCGGCGATTGTCAGGGTTTTTGAGCATAATTAACTGGGTAATCTTAAAAAATTGCGAGACATGCTTCAGTCTCAAGTAGGCATTAAACAAGTATTTCTAGTCTCTGCCTGCTTCCAGACTTTAACCATTAAGATATTTTTCGAAGCATCTATGGTTAAATTGTTTGATTTAATTGCTCATTCGGTTAAATTTTTCTTTTGTATGCGGCTTCTTGCTTTTCTCTTTTCTTTTATCATATCAATATCTCGAAATCTATCGAACTAATTCTTTTCAAATTTGAACGACTTCTTCAGTACACATGTAGGTACTTTGCAAACTAGAATTCTGATTCGTCAAGCCGTTTATTTAATGTTCAACAAAATGCCAAAACTTTACCTTTAAATATTTATTATATTTAGTTCAAAAACAAGTTCATACTTTACAGATTACAATGCTGTTTGATTCTTTTATTTCTAATAAGCAGAACGCGTGTAATCGTGGGCCTCGCAAATTTTTTTTATGAATGAGTGGCTAAATTGCCATGTACTTCAACAATCAGGTACAAAATCCTAATAAAAATGAAATAAGAGAGACTGTCAAATAAACTTCATGTTTTGATTTTTCTTTTGCTATAAGAGTAACCTCCTTTGTAGCTGCTCGATTTTGTTCTATAAGATTTTAAGTTTAAGCCTCAAGATCATCTTGCATTTAAACAAAATTAGGTATTCTAGCATTACTCTGAACTTGTCCATAACAGGATATTTCTTACTAAAATTTTGCTTCATTAGTTTTTTGATGTGGTCATATATTATTCAGGCTTTTAGTTTTGTTTTGATTTGTTGATATACCCTTTGAGATTTAGAAGTCCAGCAGATTTAACACCTTCTTGTTGCCGGTTGGCAAATAGGTAGGCAATACTATTGCAATTATCTACTATTACTACTGCAATTATCATTTCACCTGAATGATATATTAATAGCACTCAGCAATTCACTATCTTCACCAGGCGTTATCAATTGCGAACCCCACGCCATGTGTTTAACATTAAAGCTTCCTTCAATGATAAACCTTGAGCATAATTTTGCAAACAATTCTCTGTGTTGTTATTGCGTCATTGTGTGACTTGACACCTATGGTGGCTTCAATTACATACTTTCTGATCTCGTTTCCTTGGAAGTACCTCCTTAGAGCATGTTCACTCGGGTAAGTGGTTCAGTAGATATCATATCACTGTATTTTGATGACATTCATATTGGAAAAGCAAGTCTCTGAAATGAATGCTGTCTATATGGTTACTTGACAGAAAAAAATTGGTTCTCGGACTCGTTGTTCTCTTAATAGTTACATAACTGCCTCTAAC